AAAAAAAAAAAAAAAAAAAAAAAAAAAAAAAAAAAAAAAAAAAAAAAAAAAAAAAAGAGGAAAAGTGTGCTTTTACCCTTATCAAAAAAAGATTTCTCTTGTATGCTGCATCTCCTACTTATCCAGGAAAAATCTTTGAGCATCTTTGTCATCGTAAATATGATATGTCAATTAAAATTATTAAAGTAATATTGAATGCTTCAGGTGGAGGAAGAGTATTTAATAATTAAAATAATATTTGATATTGAACAGTGACATTGAGCTTGACTCAACTAAAGTTAAAAAAGAGGGGAGCGTACCCCAAGCCTTTTCTGACATTGATTTGCATGCAGCGCTTCTGGCGTACTGCATCACCAGAGTTGCTAAGGCTGCTTTGGAAAAAGCTTTGGCCGAGAATGGAGATGCTGTTGATTATTTGGGTCTCTCCCCGCGTCTACCCGTCGCAGCTGAATCACCTGTTGATCTTAACCTGCCCCTCATAATCAAGATTGACTCTCCTCAAGATGATCGTATATGAAAAGAGTTCTTTTGACATGTAAATTCTTCATTCTCCTCCTTCAATAGGCCCGGCTTCTCTGAACGATGGAAAAGTGTCATTTTTTATTTATGTACAATTCATATTCCATAACGTAGGATCTAGTTTCTTGATATAGAGTGGCCGATTTCTAAATTAAGCATGTGCTAAAGAGTAGCTGCTTGGTTTTTTACTATTACAATAAAAGTGACAGTCCTACTGACTAAAAGCATTCGTTTAGTGAGTTATCTTTGTGATCTAAAGTGATTCTGGTACTGGACCTGGTTTTTTAATCAGTTCATCATAGGCACATATATATTCAGTTCAATATGTGGCGGTGGGATTTCGAACTTGAGACCTCCTTAAAGTTATTGAAGGTGTATGCCTAAGCCTGGATAGGCATATTGTGGTTGAAAAACCAGTAATCTTTCCGCTTCAAATTGTATAGTAATTTTCCTGTCCTTGATTAGACAGAAAAGAACTTCAACTAAACCAAACCTGAGGCGATAGCTTTTACTTCCCTACTCTCAGACGTCTTTTTGCCTTTCCTTTCTCATCAGTCTTTTTATATAAGCATTGAGGACGTAAAAGGTTCATGCTGCCATATTCCACTTCGGATTTGCTTGCCTGCAATCAGTATTAACTGGGTTGCCATTGCAGCAGTGCTGCTCGTGTTTTTGATCATCGGCTAGCAAAGCGCCTCATCATAGGTGAGCTTATCCTAAGGCATGGTTCAGTTAACTTTTTTGTATGCTAGGATAAAAGGTAATTATTAAGCCATCAAACTTGATGATGGATTGAAATAATTATTGTTCGTTTACTTGAATTCTTGATTTTTAGGACAACTACCTTTGAATGAATCACTAATTGATTGGGAATGATTATTATTAGTTCACTTGAATTCTTACTTTTTTGGATAGTATCCTTTGAATGTGTCACTAATTGAATAGAATGAATGATTATTATTATTTCTTCACTTGAATTCTTAATTTTTAGGATAATATCCTTTGAATGAATCACTAAGGTGTGGAAAAAGGATTCAAATTTCAAATGATAGTAGATTGAAACTTAACGTTTTTGTTCTGAAGTTTATGTATAGGTGTGAAATCTACATATTCACTAAGAATATTCAATGGCTTGTATTGCAGGCAACTAACTGGTAAGCAGATGAATTTAGAAGAAGTATCTACATATTCTTACTTTGTATTCATTAAGCATTTATTTTATTCCTTTACTTTTTATTTGCACCCATTAATACTTTTGACCTCTCTTTGAGAAAATCTTGCCATTGCGCTGCTGAAATCATGAGCTTGGTTGGGGAGACTGCTTTTGTTCTAAAGTGAAATATGTTCAGGTAAATTTCTTAAAAGTTACTTCAATTATCTTTTAGTGGCTGAAGTTGCTTTTTCTTCTGTGATTACATGTCTGTGACTTGTGATTTCAAGTGCTAACAAAACAAAATTAGAATAAGAACTGTAACTCCATGATTGAATTGAATGAATTATTAGATTGCTTCTTACAACTTGTGACCTTTTTGATAAAATTTAGGCATTGAAGCAGTAAATGGAAAAACTCCTGTCTGTCAGAGACTTGTAATCCCAAATATATTGTCTCATTGTTGTTTGTGGTGAAGAAGGAATTGACATGAAGATGCTTCCAATATTTGTTGATAATCATAGAATATGATTCTTCAGATCGGTCTGTAGAATTCATTAGCTGCCATGGTAGGTGGATAGAACACTGCATATGAGGACCACCAAGAAATTAAGTTTTTTCTCCTTACAGTCTAAGTTTCATAGTTTTTCTGTACCTTCATTAACTATTTACCTCCTTTGTTTGCCATGTTAATCAGCTACACAAACAAAGATCAGAAACCATGTGATTTGGGCATGCTTGAGCTGGATGCTTGTAGGTGAGAGATTTTAACCTTTTTAGTTCAATAATTGGCTAGAAGAGAATTGAACCATCGACCTTTAGGATGATAATTTGAGTCTTATCCACTCCACCCTGATTGACAATTTTAATCCTCACTATTTATTTTCTTCTTCTATCCGTCTCTTTCATGATTGAAAACAGCATGTGGTGCTTCTCGGCACCCTCTGCACTTATGGAAATGCCATATAGCATTGTTGCAGAAGCTCCTTTCTCTTTTTGTTACTCAAACAAAAGAGCACGATTATTCGGTTCCCGAACCTAGGCCAGGCAAACACCCTCGGCCCCAGTCGTATAAAATAGGTTCATCAAGTGCAATTATTTTTCATTATTAGCTCAGGAAACTTTTAAGTTGCAAATATTAGACTAGACAATGAAGGGTATAGATCAGCTGCTAACTTGTTTGGATGTATGGATCGGATGGATGAAGGAACACAGTTTTTTGGGTTAAATCTGGTTGAAAAGTTGGTTTTATAACGAGGCACTGTTAGTGATTAAAATAACGTTAGTCTTTTAGCTTAAATTAAGGGAAGAAAGAAAGTCTTTTTGTTTAGGTGTTTTGTCTCCATTGAATTGGCTTTTCTTTATAGGTAAAGCGACCCTATATTAAGAGGGGGGGTTTAGAACTTTTAAGGAGGACCAAATTTGATTTGCTTAGGAAAGAAGAGTATGTTGTCGTTCTTGCCCGAGTTTAGAGTACTAACTTAAGCAAATTAAAACTAGTTACATATATATTCTCGACCAAGAGGTTAAAGATTCAAAAAACATAATTCTTTACATTCTTGCACGAGTTTAGAATACTAAGCTAAACATAGTGAAACTAGTTACATATATATTCTCGACTAAGAGGTCAAAGATTCGAAGAAAGGTATTCTTCTACCTTCTTGCCCGAGTTTAGATTACTAACCTAAGCATAGTAAAACTGGTTACATGTATATTTTCAACCAAGAGGACAAAAATTCAAATAACGTAATTTTTCTACATCCTTGTACGAGTTTAGAACACTAATCTAAGTATAGTGAAACTGGCTACATATATATTCTCGATCAAGAGGTCAAAGATTCAAATAACGTAATTCTTCTACATTCCAGTAGAGTATAGAATACTAACCTAAGCATAGTGAATCTAGTTACATGTATATTCTTGACCAAGAGGTCAAAGATTCGAATAACGTAATTCTTCTACATTTCTGCAGAGTATAGAATACTAACCTAAACACAGTGATGATACTAGTTATGCACATATTCTCAACCAAGAGGTCAAAGATTCGAATAACGTAATTCTTCTACATTTTCGCACGAGTTTAGAATACTAACCTAAGCATAGTAAAACCAGTTACGTATATATTTTCGACCAAGAGGTCAAAGATTAAAATCCCTTTACTCGTACTCGTAACTCAAAAAAAAAAAAAAGTACTAGTTGAGGATATGGCTTTCACCCACCTAATTGCTGTTAAAGCAAAAGCTTCACTAACACAAAAGAAGAGGCAAAAAAATAACTTGATTGCATCAAACTTGATTCTATCCCCCCCCCCCCTCTCTCTCTCTCATGTCTAAGATGGTAGTACACAAAAGAATTCTCCCCCTTTTTCTCTCTCTCTCATGCACCATTGATTGGACTCAATAATTCATTGTGAAATATTGTATAATTTAATGCACTTTTTTTTTGTAGCTTACTTGTTTTTATAAACACATTTTTTTAGGATACAAGATTGGAGATGGGGTAATGGTTCAAATTTTTGACCATTATCGAAACGGGTTGGTTTTTAGAGACTAGTTAAGTTATTCTCGTGTTGATATGTATTTAAATATTCATTTAAACTTAGATTTGAATGGATTGACCTAACTATTTTTAAAATTAAAGCATAAACAATTGGATTTGTGACACTTTAAAAGAAGGTGAGAGAATGAAAGCTCAGCCAAAATTTATGCTAAAATTGCACACCAAGTATTCTAACAATTTCTAATTAATTGTTGTGAAAAATGATTTATTTATTTTTATATAATAAAAAACAATTTTGTAAAAAAAAAAGGGGGGGAATTGCAGAATAAGGAAGTTCATTAAATATGGTTATTAATGAACATAAATCCAAGTTTGAGAAGAGAAAAATCCGCCCAAAAGCTGATTTTACAGCCCACTGTTATAACTTCCAACAATTAACAAAAGTTACTAAATAAAAAAAAATTAATTTCAAATTTATTAATAATATTTTAATCGAAATGTGAGTAAGCCGAGCCAGAGTTGTGAGCCGAAGCCGAGCCAATGTGGTTGAAAATTGGTGAATTCCTGAAACACTAACAACACTAACTCTCCTCTGTTTCAAATAGGTAGAGAAATGTGAGGAACATCTCTCAAACTCAACAAAGTAGGAATTTTGTGTGTAAAAAAACAATAAATATTAAAGAAATAAGGCCCCCAAAAGAAGATAGACACTGATAGAGTAAGCTCTTGGACAACCTCTCTCTCTCTCTCTCTCTCTCTCTCTGGTTCTTTTTTCTCGAGCATTTGATGACTGTGGTCCTTAACCAAGGTACCAATTTCAGAACCCTTCACAAAATTTTCATGTAATTAAGCCTTGTTCATCTAGTTCTTGTTCTTGTTCGTGTTCGTGTTCTTCTTGTTTAGCTCTTTATTGTTCTCTCAGATCCAGAGCCATTATTTCCTCTGATTTCCACCTCCTCTGTTTCTTCCTTCTGAGACGAAGCAATGAGTAAAGAAGAGTTCTTAAAGATCCAGGTAACCCTTTTCTCCAACCTCATTTTTTGCAAGAAATATGAAACCCCTGTTTGGATTTGTGTTCAGATACGATGATCATACTTGTGTAATGTTCTGTTTTTTTTTTTTTGGTTGTTGTGCTCTGTTTTTAGAAATGTGTTCTTAAAGTGAATATCCACTGTGATGGGTGTAAGCAGAAAGTGAAGAAAATCTTGCAGAAAATTGATGGTGGGTTCCTATTTTCTTCTTCTGTTTCGCTTTAATTTCGTGTTTTTTTGTTTATTTTGAAAATGGGGCTTTGTTTTTGTTCGATTTTTTTAGGGGTTTTCACTACGGAGATAGATGCAGAGCTAGGGAAGGTAACAGTTTCTGGAAATGTAGACGCAGCTACTCTGATCAAAAAGCTCTCGAAATCAGGGAAATATGCAGAGCTTTGGGGAGCTCCGAAGGTTAATCCAAACAATAACAATGGCGGCCAACAAACCCTTCTTGCAAATCAGGTGAAAAATTTGCAGATTGACAATGGAAAAAATGGGGGTAATAATAATAAACAGGGACCCCCAAAGGGTGGGAATAATCAGCAGAAACCGGGCGGCGGTGGCGGTGGTGGTGGTGGTGGGCCACCGCAGATTCTGCCACAGCAGCTTATGCCGCAGCAGCTTCAACAGCTGCAGCAATTACAGCAGCAGATGAATGGGTTACCGTTTCAAGATCCGAAGATGTTACCACCGCAGTTGAAGGGTATGAAAATGCCGCCGTTTAAAGATCCGGTTCCGGCGAATCAGAAGGCGGTGAAGTTTGATTTGCCGGTGGATGGTGACCTGACGGATGAAGATGATTTGGATGATGAATATGATGAGTTTGATGACGATGATCTTGAAGATGATTTGGATGATATTCCTCTTCCTCCGAATAAAATGAAGCCTTCCATGGGTGGTGCCGGCAACGGACCCGGCGCCGTTCCTGGTGGTGGCGGAGGTGGAGGAGGTGGAGGCGGTTGGGGTCAGATGCCGAATATGGCGATGATGAATGGGAATATGAATATGCAGCAATTAATCAATGCTCAGAAGGCTGCTGCTAATGGAGCTGATAAGAAGGGCGGTGGCGGTGGCGGCGGAGGTATGCCAATGCCGATGCCAATGAATGGAATGGGCGGCGGAAACAATGACGGTAAAGGCGGAAATGGAGGAAAGAAAGGCGGCGGTGGCGGTGGGAAGCCCAGTCAAGGCGGTGGAAATGGTGCTGGTAAAAATGGGGGCAAAAACGTTGAAGGTAAGAATGGTAATAATAATGCTGGGGCTCAAAAGAACGGCGGCAATGGCGCCGGCGGTGCTCCGATTAATAATGGCAACGGCGGGAAGAAGACTGGTGGTCAAATGCCTCCCGTAATGAACGGTGGTGGTGGTCCCCATGGATTTCCGAGCATGGGTGGTCCTCACGGACTGCCACCAGGAGGAATGGCCGCCGCCTCCGGCGGCGGCGTCGGCGTCCGGCCGATGAACATGAACATGCCAATGATGCAAATGGGCAACATGCAAATGAGTCAAATGGGATCCATCCCGGCCGTCCAAGGACTTCCAGCGGCCGCCATGAACGGCGGCGGACCGGGTGGCGGGTATTTTCAAGGAGCTCCCGGACCAGCGGAGACGATGGGCGGTAACCCCTACCAACAACAACAGTACATGGCAGCAATGATGAACCACCAACGCGCCGCCATGGGTAACCAACCGATGATGTACGCACGGCCACCGCCAGCGGTGAACTACCTGCCACCATACCCGTACCAGTATCCGGCGCCGCCTCCCGCCGGCGACAATTACACCCACTTCTTCAGCGATGAAAACACTTCAAGCTGCAATGTAATGTGAAGAAACAAAAAGGAAAGGAAAAAAAAAAAAAAAAAAACTTAGAAGCTTGATGAAGCTCTTATCTTATACTTGGGAATGTTTTTTTTTTTTTTTTTTGAACTCTCCTGAGAAAAACTATGAACTGAAAATTTTTAATCTGTCATGAAAAACCCAGAATTTGATCGCCATGAAAGAGAGCTCTAATTATGGCGGCAAAGCTCTGCAAATTCTGGCCGGAGCTGTTTTTTTTTTTTTTTTTTGAACTCTCCTGAGAAAAACTATGAACTGAAAATTTTTAATCTGTCATGAAAAACCCAGAATTTGATCGCCATGAAAGAGAGCTCTAATTATGGCGGCAAAGCTCTGCAAATTCTGGCCGGAGCTGTTTTTTTTTTTTTTTTAATTTTCAGTAAAATCTCTCCATTTAATTTTCTCCCTTTCTATTTATTCTAATTAGTAATTAGGCCCTTCTAAATTATGTTATTTGTAGTTTTGGGGTTGATAGGTAAATAATGAAAGGTGAGGGGTGCTCTTTGCAATAATAAAGAAGTTAATGAAACTTGGTAGAATGCGAAATTACCAAATTGTCCTCATATTTTCCAAATTGGGATTTACAATCATTATCATCTCATGTGCTTTTGCTTCCTCTCTTTTGTAGATTTCCCATAAATTCAAAACCTTCACTATTCCCCCTTCAATGGCCATGGAGGTTTGTGAGGTGGACCTCACTCTATGAGCTGGGATCCTCTGTGGCTTGTCCCATTTCTCCTTTCTTTTGTTGGATGGGAAAAGACTCGATCGTCCTAACATCATCGTCACTTACATTTAGTCATTTCGTCATATTGTCTTATCTATTTATGGTAGAATGCAATGCTATGCACTCAATAGAGGTTTACATGTGTCGGGTCCGATTGGGTTGAGTTAATTTTTCGAACCAATCTGATATTGCTTCCCAACTCAACTCACTCAAAATATCAAAGGCTCGAATAACTCGAAGTAAAAACTTGAACGTTTGAATCAAAGATATTGAGTATTTAATACCGAAGATAAGACTCGAACTCAATATTAAGATATTCGGTACTTAACTAATGATGTAGTGTTCACCAACGAGGAAGAAGAACTTGAAGGCCCGAAGGTAGGAGGTGCCGACCGAATCAGTGAGGACAACGACAAGGAGTGTGCAATTCCTTTACTCTTAACGGCCCTTCTCGCTTTTAATAGATTAAAAAATTATTATTCACAAAATTAAAAATCCAATGACATGATATATTTAATATTATTTAAAATTATTAATTTATTATTACGTCGTATGCTAAATAAAATAATAATAATAATAATTTAGATGACAACTGAAATTTAATTGTTTTAAAAAAATATATATTTTTGTTGACTAAGTTCTATCGAGATTAGACATCGCTAAAAAAGATTAATCATACCTAAATTCCGTTAAATAAACATAAACAACGTTAAATTTAATATTAATTTTGATACAGTTGTGCAATGTTATCATCATCTCAAATTTTTATTAAAACGTCAAAATCAAAAGGGTATATCTGTTTTTTTTTTTTTCGTTTGAATTTTCGATATCACGGGACCAAAACATCACATTATTTTCGAAATTATTGTTCTTATAAAGTTGTCGTTTTTTGTTTGCAGTACAGCCAGACAAGAAAATTCACTTTGTTGGTCGATGTTGCTGGTTTTAACTAGCTGAATTATACTCAAGTTAGCATCGGTTCAAATAATAATAGCTCGATGAGCTATCATTATTGGGTGAAGGGGTCGGTGAAACCTCCGACGTCGAACCCCAATCGACGACAAGGGTATATATGCTAGAAATCTATCATCATTTGGATCAAAAGCTCCAAAAATAAACTTCACATTATATCTTTGACACTGACCACCTAACTAATCTCTCTCTCTCTCTCTAAATCAAAATTTGGAAGATCCAACGGTGGAGATTCTTTGATGTAAAGAGTCTGGTCTTGTCAAATGGAGCCCACCAATCAGAAGCCTCACATCTGCTGATCATCATCACAAGATGTCCAATCACAGGGTTATTGATGTGGAGCCCTACGTGAGATCGCCAACACCAGATCATTCCTTTGGGATATTATTCTCTGCGCCGCGGTCAACTAGATCCAGTGTGGACTCGGTTTCTGATCCGTTAGATAGAAAGAATATTTGGAGAAAGTCAATCATGGGAGATTTATGAGTTAGTTTCAGACTCCATGATTTGTACGGTCGTTGACTCAAATGAAAGAATTTCACACAACACAAAGAACTAGCCATTTAATTAACCTTTAAATCATATTTTAATTCTTTATTTTTAAATTTTAAATATTAGATTCCATATTAACGCATATTTTCAAAATTATGTGAAAAATAAATTAAAAATAAAATAAAATTTACAACAAAATTATTTTTTTTAATAAAAATTTAAAAACTGAAATTAATAATTTTAGAAATTCAAATGCTAAAATAGAACATATTTAAACCTTTAAGGAACAAAAATAAATATTTTTAACTTTTAGAGACTAAAATAGAAAAAAATTAAAAAATGTAAATACCAAAATGAAATTTAAACATATTAACAACTTTGAATTCATTTTTGTCGGTGTAATTTGATTTTTTAGGTATAAAATATTAGAAAAATGATTATCTTAACGGTGACGTGTTTCTGGTACAGATGTGAATGTTGATGTTTTTATTTGAAAATTTCCGACACAAAATATGTATATAATAAATATTTTTTTATTAATGTAAAATTGATTGTGATTAAAAAAAAAAAAAGGTCGGAAAGGGTAATTATGTGAAAGTAAAGGGGATGAAAACGAATATTTTGAAAATTAAAGTACTAAATAGTAATTGGATGGAATATTCAGTGGGTGTGTTTGGCAATGAGTTTAAGGTAACTGGAGAGTGGATGCGTTGATCTTAACCCGGGTGGGGACAAGATCCCATTCCGAGTTGGGGTAAAGTAAAAGGGAAAAGGAAGAATGAGAAGAAGAAGCTAAGCTGTTTGTGGCTTTCGCTTTTCTTTTTTCTTCTTCGTTACTTGTTACGTAGGTTTCCTTTTTTCACGCCATTCCCCTTTTTATTATTTATTTATTTATTATTATTATTATTATTATTATTATTTATTTAAGTTCGGTGTATAAATACAAATTTAAAAGTTTATCCACTAAAAGTTTTGAATATGTCACTATTTTTATTTAAAGATTTTAATTTTAGTAAGTCATTATTCTTAACATTCTTAGAACGTCCCGAAGATTGCTCGATTGAACTAGCTAGATAAAATTACTCGTGTATATGGACTATAAAAGTTTGATGATATGGGAGCTCGAGTAACTTTTATTTGTTCGTTCTTTTGAAATTGTCCCAAATTATGATCATACAAGTGTTATGGGGTAGGTTCGGCTAGCCCATAGACTGAATCCATTCGGTCGTCCTCCGAGAGTGAGAGTACCGGTTACGTGTAGGAATGCACCTATTGAGGCCATGAGAACTAAGTTGTGATGTGACATCCTTCTCTCCGTTGAGTCCAACTGATTCATAATACTACTTTAACACGTGCATAAAAGAAAACGATACTATCCTAACTCAGCTTTACATCGTTGAGATCCTACATCGACTTGACAGGGAACGAAATCATCTTTATAAGGGTGTGGAACCCCCTTCCTAGTAGATGCGTTTTAGAACCCGTGAGACTAACGACGATACGTAACGAGTCAAACGGATAATATCTACTAACGACGGGCTTGAGCTATTACAAATGGTATTAGAGACAGACATCAAGTAGTGTGCTAGCGAGGATGCTGGTGGCTTGTGAGATCCCACATCAGTTGGAAAGGGGAACGAAGCATTCTTTATAAGGGTGTGGAAACCTCTCCCTAGTAGACGCGTTTTAAAAATTGTGACATTGACGACGATACATAATGAATAACACTAATGATGTGTTGGGCTGTTACAACGTCACTACGATTTATTACAACTTCGATGTGAGATCTTACTTGCACTACCGATTAAATTCACGACCACTTATGTGTGTAGCTAACCTACGCTGAATTTGTTAGCTAGATTCTCGCATCAACATTGAACATAGCTCAATTGGTCAAAAAGTCAAAGATTCAAAAAGTCAAAGATTTGAATTCGCTCGTATATAGTTATTTGTTCATTATTCTAATTCGTAGTAGATTAAAGGAAATGGCTTATAAAGTCAAAATCAAAATTTTTAAATGTAATTTATGAATTAAAATAAATAAAAAAAAAAAATAATAATTCAAAAATTTTAATTTAATTTAATAAAGAAAAAGGGTTTAGTTTTTTGAGAGAGCAATGAGAAGAGTGAAGGTAGAGGTGGGACCCGGTGTCTCCTTATTGGGTGAAGAGAAATGAGTGTCATTTTGGATCATCCAATCTATATTCGCCACGTGTCCTATTCCACTATTAATCCATACTCTATACTCGCCGCCGATTGCCTTTTTCTTTTTTCCTTTTAATTTTTTTTTTTCTTTCTTTTTCCTTTTTAATAAAAAAGAATATTCATTTTAGATTTTTTTAAAAAAAATTCAAATGAATATTAAAAAGGGAATCAAATCTAATAAATATTTTATAAATGGTACATGGATGGATTATTTTAATTAATATTTCTATTTTTTTCATATACTAATTTTTTTTAATTAATTAACGGAGTTTAGTGGTATTTTATAGTAGTGTTTATATGTCTCGATAACTCGATCAACTTTAATTAAATTAGATTTTTTTTTTGTTTGGATTAGGTAGAATTTAAAAAAAAATTAAAAATTCGAATTGGTTCGTGGATTGAATTTTTTTTATTAGGTCAACCGGACCAACTCAAAAATAGGGTTATAACCTAACCTAACCCTACACTATCCTACATTTAATATTATTACAAATACTAAGAATATCTGATATTTGTTACGGATATTAGCAATACAGTGTGATTTGTAAATATTTAATATTTGAGTTTTACGAGATTTTAGTTATTAATGTAACATATATTGTAGATAAGTAAATTTTT